AACTTTGAAAAATCTCAGCACCTGATTCATTCTTTGGAAACTAAAATGAAGTTGACCTTCATAGTAATGGGGCAGAGTTTACTCTCTTGCTGGATTTCATGTCTTCTGGTTTAATGCTTTTAGATAAATTCGTTTTAGGATCATAAATGAAGAAACAATTTAAGATAGGCATGAAGAATTGGAAAGAAAATTACTATGGGTACTGTAATTGATATTCGCAGTTGTCTTAATCAGAAGCCAGCAGATCTTTACTGTAAAGGGTCGGATTGTACATATTTTTAGCTGTTCAGGACACCTGGTCCCTCTTGCAACTACCCAGGTCTGTCATTGTAGCAGGAAAGCAGCCAAAGATAATGCAGAGTGGGGCTGCATTCCAATAAAACTTGATTTATAGACACTGAGATTTGGGTTTATTTAAAATTCACATGTCATGCAGTATTCTTGTAATGTTTTTACCAGCTATTTAAAAGTGCAGAAGTGTTTTTAGGCCACTGGCCTTACAGAAACAGATGAAGGGCTGGGGTTTGGCCCGTGGGCCCAGATTTGCTGACCCGTGGTTTATATCACTTCAAACCACCACATTCAAAAGAGTTCAGAAAAATCTGTTTGCACACAAGTTTGTTGACCTTTAGGAATTTAGCACCTTAAAAGCTGGTCAAGTCTGGAGAGGTGTGCAAGAGGAAAATAACCCTCCCCCTGCCCTTGATGACTAAGTTCCCTACTCAGAGAAAAACCAGACATTCTTCTGTTTTTTTTCTTGAAGTTCTGGGACTCCGTTATTGATATTGATTGGCAAATGATTAAAGCAAGTGAATTAGTTAAAAATAAATTTGCGAGATTAATTTTAAAAGATGCCTCCTGGAGTGAGCACCTGGCAAATCAGTTAGGATGCTGCTCCTTGGGATGCCTACATCCCATAACAGAGTGCCCAGGTTCTAGTCCTGGCTCTGCTTCTCATTCCAACTTCCTACTGTTGCACACTCTGGGAGGCAATAGGTGATGGCTTAAGTAGTTGGGTCCCTGCTACTCACATGAGAGACTTGAGCTGAGTTCTTGGCTTGCAGCTTTTGCCTGGCCCAGCCCTACCTGTTGTGGGTACTTGGGGAGTGAAACAGTGTATGCGAAGTCTCTGTCTGTCTTGCTGCCTTTCAAACAAGTGAAAAAGAAAAGAAAAGCTTTATCTCACTGGGGTTGATTTATCATTTATCTGGAAGTAAGGAAAATCTATTAAAAATCTATTAAATCTATTAAATTTTGTGCACAGATCCATTTAAAGTAACTGTATGGAAGAAGGGAATGGTAGTGCATAAAAATAGCTTCAGCATAGATGATTGAGCCCTGGCTCTGGGGAGGGTCCCCTGGTGTATCTGCATTCATTCAGACACAGTGCACCTCAGTGCACACACAGTCACCAAGTCCTATTTTAAGACGTACAGAACTGCAAAAGGCATTTCAGATACCTTTAAATGATTGATGGATCAGGAAACAGATCTCTGGTTTCCTTGAGCAAAATGTCCTAGTAAGGCTTTTAATTTTCTGAGATTTCCTTCATCTTATTAATGATTCCTGGAAGGAGCGTTCTGTCTACAGTAGCTTATGAATATTGGTAAATTTGGCTTGGGGGGGCAATATTTCTTTTGTCTCAGATGATTGACTTCAGATTACTGTTGGTTGCATTTCAAATGAAAGAGATAAACCAGGAGGGATTATGCAAATCAAAACCTCTGTTACAAGGTAGGCTGCAGAATCGCCTTTTCTGGTGTTTTGTCTTCCTGGCATCTCACAGCTCTCTCCAGAAGGACTCTGGGGCCTACAACCATCATGGTGGGTAGGTGAATGCAGCAGGGACTAGGGCAGGGTTGTGGCGCGGCAGGGCAAGCTGCTCTTACCATACCAGCATCCCATATTGGAGTGCTGGCTCAAGTCCTGGATGCTCTGCTCCAACGCAGCATTCCTACTGCTGTGCCTGGGAGTGCAGTGGACGATGACTCAAGAACTTGGGCCCTGCCATGCTTGTGAGAGAGCATGCTGGAGTTCCTGGCTCCTGGCTTGGGTCTGGCCCAGACCTGGTTGTTGGAGCCTCTTGGGGAGTGAACCAGCAGATAGAATCTCTCTGTCTGTCTGTCTCGTGCTATCTCTGCAACTCTGCCTTCCAAGTAAAAATAAATAAATAAATGGCTAAATGAATAAATCTTTTAAAAAATAAAAAAGCAGATACTAGTGAGAAAAAATAGAATCGAACACTGTGAAGGTGCACTGTCTGAATTACTTTTCCCCTTCTACTTCTCTGTGTGGTATACAAGCCAGCTAGCCTTGGGTTTGAAAATGGGACCCACTTTATATTCTACCATGATAAACCTGAGTTGGCAGGAAGATCTATCACTATCTAAAGGAGGGAGACCATAAGCAGCTCAGAAGCTGCAAAAACTCTGAAAAGCAGGATAATCAGGCACGTAATTTGGCTCTGATATGTTTTTTTATGAGTGAGATCTGTCATTCTTCTTGGGATCCTTAGTTTCAGGAAATTTTTGCAAAGATGTGTTGACTAAACCAGTTTTACATTCTGAAAAGAGGAAAGGTTATTACTAAGGTTTTAAAAAAACCAATTTGTTTGAAAAAGCTTATATAAAAATTATTTTATAGCTGCTACTTTCTATGCATATGTTGAATGGTCTCTTTAAAAATAATATTTCTCAGGAACTCATGTTAGATAATGCACTTTCCAATTAGAACAAGGCTCATAGCGAGGAAGGAAAAAATACTGACAGCTGCTAGTTAATGCATTTTGGTGTATTGGCAGGGTATGAAACATAATGGGATTGGTTCAAAACCCAGCCTTCAAAAAGAGTTTTCTCAAGATTCGTGTACAATAAGCCCAATTATCTTAAGATCCCGATCAGTTTGATTATTTGAGGCACAATCACCTGATACTGCCTTCCTCACACTGCACACCCTCTCCGTGGGCTGTTTATTTCCTCTCCCATCAGCCTTACCTCAGCCTTTATCCTGTGCAGTTGCTCGTTCTGAACGTACATAGAGCCTGCTCCTGCCGGTCCCAGTCCCAGCAGAATTCATTTTTGTCATTCAGTGCTGTCGAATCTGCTACCCAGCAGAGCCCACCACTCCCCAGACTCCAGGCTCTTAGTTGACTATGAGAATTCAGGGTGTATTGTGTACACCCTGGAGTGTATTGTGTCTTTGAGCATCTGGTGGGGTTGGGATGGATCAATGAGGATGCTGATTCAGATGCATCCAGAGGGAAAAGAAGAATTCCCAATGCCTGACTTTTTAATTTCCGTCATCTAGTCCTGTTGGCTTTTGTGCACCTGCTTATTATTTTTGGATACTTTAAAAATAGTGTCAGTATGTCTTGAATATTCAGGTCCTGCCTATTCAACCTGTGAGTCCTTTTTATCCCTGGTTTTCCTCCTCTTTCCATATGTAGTCTCTCTTGGTCTTTGTCTCCTTATTAAAATATTTCCAGGTCTTTTTGTTTCTTAAGGGCAGAGATTATGTCTTTTTTCATCTTTATTTCTGCCACATGACTGAATAGTGATCTTCAAAAATATATATCCACATCATAATTCCTTGAACCTGAGAATGTGAGTTTATATGGAAAAAGAGCCTTTGCAGATGTCAGTAAGGGTCTTGAGATGAGATCAGCCTGGTTTATCTAGGTGGGCCCTAGATCCAGTGATGAGTGTCATTGTAAAAGACATAGAAAGGGCAGACATGGGGAGAAGGGTTGTGAGGAGGGAGGCAGAGGTTGTAGTGATGTGGCCACAAGTCAAGGAAGCTGGCAGCCACTGGGAATAGCAGCATGGACTGGATTCCCCTTGGAGCCTCTGAGCGAGGTTGGCTCTAGTGACATCTTGCCTCCTGACTTCTGGCCACACTAGCTGTAAGACAATAAACCTTTCTTGTTTTAAGCCACCTGGTTAGTGGTAATTTCTTCCGTCAGCCATAGGAAATGAATGCATGCTCTCTCCGCGGTACCTGGAGTAGGATTTGGTAGATAAATTTTCCTACATTAATAAATGATTTGTAACTAGTAGCTTGGCAGAAACAGGACAGCATTTGGTAAGGATAAGCTGGTTTTAGCTTATCCATGCTTTTCCTGGTCACTCCCTTTATTCAGGATGGTGAAATACTCAAGTTGGGGAGAAGCCTGTGTGGCGGGGCATTGTGACTAAAACTTCAGGAGAGCATTAGGAGGGAAGGAATCTGTATGCTATGGCTGCATGCAGTGGTGAAGGGTGAATGTGGCTTTCCAATGGGATGACAAGAGGCTCACCCAGTCTCTTTTCCAGCAATTAAGGTGATTTTTAGAAGTGAGAGCATCAGCCCTCCCTGGCAAGCTGCAGTCCCTGTATTAGAAGGTGGGAAGTCCTTTCTTCTTGCCTCAGAACCCTGTTTGGGCATTTATGGGCTGTTAGAACCATGTGGTTAAAAAGCCAGTGTGTATGTTATCGTCAGACATGGAGATGGCTGTAGTTAGGTATTGCAGCCAGTCAGTTTCTGATCGTTGAGTCCTGTAAAGAATTCTAGATATGCTGCCAACTCCCCAGCAGGCAACAGCTGGAATTCAGGGTGTGCCTGGCTGTGAAGAGAAGCACAGTTAGACAAGATCTGTCAGTACTGAAAGTAGGAATGAAGGTGGCCTCGTAGTAAACACCTGGATTTGAGTCTTGGCTGGACTTCTGGTTCTTGTTTCCTGCTAGTGTACACACTCGAAAGCATCAGTGATGGGTCAACTAGTCAGGTCTTCACCACCCATGTGGGAGACCTGCACTGGGTTCCTTGTTCCTGGTTTTGGCCTGGTCCAGCCTCAGCCATTGCAGACATTTGGGGAGTAAACCAGCAGATGTGAGCTCTGTCATATCCCCCCACCACACACTTTCTCTCAAATAAATAATAGCATTAAAAACAAATAAATGATTTGAAGTCCACTTATTCAAAATACCATGAGTGATTCAAAAAGAACAAACCATTATCCACCATGCTGGAAAACCTTTAAGGTTTTATTCTCAACATCTTTACATTAATACAGATGCTTTTTATTTTGTGCTGAGAAAAACAATCTGTTACGCATAATGTAACTTTAATATACAACATAGAAACTCATCCTAGATTAGTTACAACAAGGACCTACAAAAAACTTCATAGGAAAAAAAGTTACCTAATATTGCCACCATATGTTTCTAGTAGACTGACCCTGTCAGACCCTGTCATCCATGCTCTGCTCTGTAAACAATGGTTATTTCCATTTTCAGGGGTGGGGGAGGGGTGGGGTTGTTAATCATAGGGGCACTAAAATCAGCCTAGAAAGTTCTAGCACATCACTAAATACTGTACAGTCCTCAAAAATAATTTATTGTACTGTTGCTAAAAAAAGGTGCTAGGGTTGCTCTTTTGCTCTTTTCCACACTCTGGAGCTGCACGTGAGCACATTTGTCTAACAGTCTACAAACACGACAACTGAACGGCAATTCACAATCACAGGGATGAGGTGGTGGAGTCGAGGACTTCCCGCCCATTGCACACGGTTGGCACATATGTGCTCGCGGGGGCTGCAAAACAGAAGGGCACAGAAGCTCAGAGTTAGGCAAGGGGCCACAAATGTAACGGCACCGATAATCACAAACACTGGGTTAAAATTAAAGGCTCGTTTCAACTTGTCTTTCAGAAAATGGTAAATGATGTGATGCCACAGCTGTCAGCTTTCTAAATATGTTTTGTGCAAGGTTGCTTTATACCCTGGGGCATTCCTTCTCTACTTTCATACCCCTTGGAGAGAACTTACATTGAAACAAGAAAATTTATTATTAAAAGAAGTCACTTATGGGTTAAAAATTACCTTTGGTCCTTTATGAACTGGTTAAAATACAATGTACAGAATTGAAAGCTCAATGTGATTTTATTACTGATTATTAAATTATCCACTTCAATACTCTAATTAGTTTTGTTTGGTCTGGTTACGGATGGCTCTTCTGTGGCTCATCTGTGAACTCTGCTGCCTTAGAGATGGTCTGTAATAGTATCATTGTTCAGGTGGAAAACCCCAGTGAAAATATTAGCAAGGGAGGTGGTACAGAGAGCTTCAAAACATTCTAGAGAAGGAAGATATGCCATAGGGGCGATACCCTGATTAACAGCAATAGGGTCAATGCTGTTACGGTGTATGTAGAATAGGGTTATGTATATTCATCTTTTTATGACACTTCATTTTCCCTGATACAATTCTTAGCTATTAACTTGTTGGTAAAGTTTTGTTTATATGGGAAATCTAGGTACAGAGCAGTTGTATGTGTTGTTCCCCATTCTCCTCTGGAGAAAACCTTGAAGCCAAGAGAAGATGTTAAAGAAGTGAACGTCCACTGCTGTTAAGGTCTTTCCGCATCCTAGCTCTTGGCCTGGTTCTCTGGATACACTCTGACCAGCGGGAGCTTATTATCTAGGCTACTTGACACAGATCAAATTGCCCAGTCCTCTGTCCTACACTTTAAGGGCATATTCTTCAGTTAATTAGCAAATAAACTAATTTCATCCTAAATGTTCAAGCCTGATGATGGACATACTCTTGCCCCATAAACCTGCGTAGGAATTTCTGTGAACAAAAAGATGTAATGGTTATGAAGTGTGAGGTGGTGTACCATTCAGTAGGGGAGTTCTCACCATGGTCGTGGCCCTAGAGGTACACTTCTAGAGGGACTGCAGCCCCTCACATTTAATTCGTTTACTTGGCTTGTATGGGAGCATACCTATGAAGTCAGTTCAGTGACTTCCTGAAGTTACTGTGGAGTCAGGTGGCATACTAATAACTCTTTTGGAGTTTTTTCCCCTCTAATGATTGTTAGGATCAGATTCAGTTTTATTTACATTATGAGCTCCTTAAATCTACTATGTCTTTGCAGCCAGTGATGCCATAATATACACATCGTGGAACTGCTAGGATGAAGAAATTTTTAACACAATGTGTGCTAGATAAATACCTGATGGACAGTAGTCAGGATAAGAATTCCAAGTGTGAGGGCGTCACTAGGTTCTTTGCAAAGTGTTTTCATATACTTTATCTAATTCCAGCTTCATCAAAGCTAGGTGAGGTAAGAGAAAGAATAAGACGAAGTGAAATTCAAAATTGATGAGGTCACTCGAGATGTAGGCGAGCACCACAGGTGATCCAGCATGAGCTGGTTCTTCAGCCCCCTTGCATCCCGCTGCTGCTGTAACATCTGCACGCAGCAGTTCAACAGACATTTTCAAATCGGTGGCCAAGCAGAACTCTTGCTTCCCTAACCTGTCCCCATTTGTTGTTCATGTCCTCGGTCACTGGTCTCAAGTTATGCTTCGTTCTTTTTGTCTCTCTACCCCTCTACCCATGTCAAACCTTTAACCAGGCCCCATTAATTCCTCTTCCACACCTAAGCACTTTGATCTCTGCATCCACTGCCTCGCCCAGGTCACCATCGTCTTTCTCCTGAACATCGCAACAGCTGCACTACTGGCATTGCTGGCCCTACTCATGCCAGCTTGCAGGTGCTCCCTGGACAGCGATGGGAGTCTTCTCAAATGAAGTCCCCTGTCTTCCCTTTGCGATCTATCTCCTTGCTCTGGCTTATAAATCCCAGTGGTATCTGCCTGTGTTTATCTCCTTCCACGTTTTTTTCTTCCCTTTTTGGTTTTTGTCCTCAGAGTCTGTTTCTGAACTCTGAATTTGCAGCAGCTGCCTCTGCCAGGGAGGTTCTTCCCTCTGATCTGCACACGCCTGGCTCCTTCTTGTCCCCCATGTCTGAACAGCCACTTCTTCAGAAAGGCCATTGTCGGGCCACCAAATTGATCTCAAGTTTCAGTTTGAAACCTTGGCCTAGCCCAGTGGTTGCTGCCTGTTTTCTGGCTTGTCACCCTTATGTTACTAGCAGTATCCTCCATTCTCAACTAGAACATGCAGGAGCTTTGTTTCAGTATTTTATCCTTAGTGGTGCTCATGGCTTAGCCCCTCTGTGAAATGAGTCCTGAAAGCCCATGCCAACGTTTGCATGCCCAAGAGTGAGGAAGCCCAAGGACGTCTCAAGAAAGAAATCATCTTTTAACCTGAGACAGTGACCAAGGATGTGAGGCCTGTGGGCAGCCTTCCTTCAGGTTAGGGGAGCCCGTCTGCTTCTGGAGCCCGATGGTCCCAGCGGCCATCAACCACCTCCGCAGAAAGAGCTGGCCCGGGGCTGAGCTCCCCAGGCGTGCTGCCTTTGGCATTTTGACTAATACCTTTATCTTTCCCAGGATCAGGGTTTATTATTTCTGCGAAGCCTTTTCATTTCCAGGGGTTAAGGAGGAGGAAGGACGTGTCACGGGGCTGAGTCCAGGAGCACAGAGGGCTGGCATGGGAGCGCCCGCTCCTGTGTACCTCAGACGAGCCCAACACCCTTGTGCCCTGCAGTTCTCTGGATTGTTAGAAACGTGCTCCTGTGTTCCACTCCTACTGTGGAACTTGATGTCCTTCTATTCTTTGAGGTGCGCTTTTGCCATCTACTTGCTCACTGCGTTCTAATTTCTTAAAGACGGAATGTATTTTGACTAGCATGGTAAGAAGTACTGGTGCTACAAGGGCTAGCTATAGGAAAATCCTGAGGTTTTAGTTTAAAATACTATCCTATCATGCACCCTATGGACATCATTATGGAAGTTTCAAGAATAATTTTGAGTCATCTGCTTGCTCTATAGGGACATGAAAGGGAATGCCCTATGTCAGAATGCCTAAACTCTTTGAGAGGAAGATAATAGAAATTCAAGGTTTTCTAACAAGAAATAACAGCAGCAAAGACACTCAGGAGACTCTCTGCAGCTGCTTTCCCCTCAAACCTTTTGAGTGTGATGAAGGGAACTTTAACTTCTATTTTTCTGCTTCCCTTTTATTATTTTATCTGTAGCTTTTGCCAGTGTACTTTGTTATGTAAAAACATATTCTCATTTTTGCACACGCTGTGAATATAGTGGAGGAAATTATAGTTTTATGAGTTTACTATCTCAATTACTTTGCATTTCATAAATATTTTACATATGCCTCTCATATTGGTCCATCTGTTATTCCCCAAGGTACAGTATGTGGAAGAACAAAGTAATAATGTGTGTGTGTGTGTGTGTGTGTGTGAGAGAGAGAGAGAGAGAGAGAGAGACGGACGAGCTTTTGCTAGTATTCTGATGAAATTCTCACCAGATTTTTCATGGGGAAAGGTTAGCCCACCTTCTTAAGTGCGCTTAAGCAGATTTCTATAATCATCCTTTGTGGCAGAAATGAGAGGCACACAGCTCATTCTTGGTTCCTGGGGCCCAGGGTGAGCAGAAGCTGTTAGTTTCCTTAGACTCAGCTGTGCTTTTGACATTTAAAGTGAACACGGAAGATAACTGAAAAAGACCTCGTCACTTCCACTCTTCCACAGCCTAGTTTGCTTCATGAACTTGGCGAAGCACTAGAGATCAGCGCAGCCAAGTGACACCTTTGTGTCTGTGAGATCCACTTGTCTTCCACCAGTAATGCACAGGCTAGCCAGGCTTTCCCAAAATGACTCTGTTTTTTTTTTTCCAGGTAACTGGGCCCTTATCAAGGCTAAATGTACTTATATAATATGTTTTTATGGATGCCAAGCTTGTTAGTTCAGTGGCTGAGCCAGGTTCCTGAGAATCAGTGTGTTACTGTTACTGTATAATGTATCACACTTGGAAAGGAAGAAAGCAAACATTTCAAGAGAATGGACATCCCACTTTGCCCCCATCTGTCCTATTTCGTTGCTCCTGGTGACCCCAAATGGGTTTTCCCAGGATGTCTGCTTGTTTGGATATTTGGATGTTATGGTCATGGGATCCATTTTCCACCAGCTGTGTGGTGTCTTTCCTTTCTGCTTTGTCACTGGACCCTTTTCTTATGCATCACCTCCATTTCACTTGTGCTATGGTGCCTGGTCCCACTCGGGAGATGCCCATCTATCTGTTAATATATGTTGCCTGGGAGGATGATGACACTGCTGGCCACTGGTCTGGGAGCCTTGCTGCATCAGGGACTCCACAGTGGAGGACATAAGAAACAGTGATCAGAAGGGGCTTCCTCTTTGTGACTTAACTAATGGACTCAAGCTGTAAGATTTAAGAGGAAACCATATTCAGTTATGCTGTGGGGTACACATCTGATCTGCAAATGCCAGATTTGGTTTCCAAATGTGGAGTCAGAACTGTGGGAAAGCGAAGGCTTATTCTTTCCATGATTCTTTTCTTGTGAGACAAGATTCATGGAAAGAGAAAGTAGGTCAGAGCCAATTTTATGACCCAAGTACAACTTAATTACCTTATCTATGGGAGGTTCACTTGGTCTTCGGCTAAACACCTCACTGATTATTGCCACATGAAAGACACATGATTTTTTTTGTCTTTTTCATTTTAATCCTTTCCTCCCTCCCTCCCTCAAAAAGTGCAAAACCAGATATGCAGTGAATAATTCATTAATGAAAGGTCTCAGTAATTTCTGTGCTGTTCTGCCCAGTCCACGTCCTTCTTGCCCCCTCTTGGTTGCCTGTCATCTCTGGTTTCTCCTCCTCTTTACCCAAACGTGGTTTTAGACAAAGGATCAGAAACTTCTTCACCCTGAGGCCAAGGCACGGATTCTGAGAGACCTGTGGGCAGCCCTTCTGGAAGATCCTGCCTCTGTGTGTGCAGCTGCGTTGTGGGGACCATGAGGGTGTCGGATGGACGTGGTTTATCATGGTGAACTCCTCAACATGGAGCTTTTGGGACGAATGCAAGCCTGTCACCCACGCTGATAGAACAAGATGCCATCAGGGGTGGACACTTTTTAAAAGAAATCCATTGACTCGCAGATGCTGAGATCCTCACTGTCATATTAGAAGTTGAATTTTGTAACTGAACTTGGGCAGAAAATTCAGAGGGGCCGAGGAGTGATATAGCAGCTTTTCAGAGTTTCGGCTGTGACTTCAGTTACCAAATTCTTTAGGTATCTAAGAGGTTAAGGCTCCAGTTTTCTCATCTAGAAATATTATTAGAATAAATGATCCTTAGTGGCCCTTCCAGCTCCAGGCTCTAGTGGGCTGCATTTGATTAGGGAAACTCTAGCAAAATAAGGGCTTGAAAAGAGCAGTTGTGAGACATCCAGTGGCAGTGTCAATAGAAGAGAAGAGAGGTGCTAAATATCAGCTCACTGTGCATACAAGGCTTCCTGCCATACCTGGAGACTCTCTAGCCCCCTGCTGTCATGAGGAAGGACGTGCAAGAGGATGGAACAAACTTCCTGGAGGTGCTGTGGCTTTTCAAAGGGGGCAAGTGTGTTGACGTGTATCTGAACCGGATGCCTTCAGTACCTCTGTCTGGAAGCAGATGGCTTCACTTGTCGAATACCATAGGTTCCATCTTGCATTGTCCACTGAGGATCTGGGTGCATTACTTTCTAATGCCCGTGGCTAGGAAGCCTGTTGATTCAGTCTGGGCTACCAAATAACTTGCTAGTTTTCCTGGCTAGGCCAGTGTGTGGTGTGATTATGGGACTCGCTGTCTTCAGAGGCTTGGTCACTTACACTACAAGTGTGGCCCTCGTGTGCTTGTTTTCTGTTGGAAATTATGCTGTGACTCTATACTGCTGCTTGATTTTTTATCATGTAAAAGTTCTATATAATAAAGAATAATTCTGTTAATTGAGCAGTTCACAAATTGTAACCTAGACAAGTAACTTTCTGAATAAGGTTTTGCAGAGGCAATCAGTCTGCATATGCCTACAGCTCCCCAGAGACCTGAATCCAGGCATCATTAGTTAGCAGAAGCCTCTTGGAAAGATTGCTACAAGTGAGAGGATCACACAGCCCTCTCGGACCAAGTGTAGGTAGGTGACAGCTGTGGAGACAAAGGGTGCGCCTCGTTTCTCACCTCTCTCTCTCCACGCTATGCAGATACAAAGTCGTATTAGTGCCAATATTCTGACCCGCATGGTTCCTATAAGGTTTATGCTGCAAACCTCACAGGCGTGCCTAGCTTGTCTGCTTCAGTGATGTGCGGTTCCACTTGTACTGCCAGTGTACAGTCTTGATCGACTGTCCTTGGGAAGCGGCCCTGGGAAGACCTTTGACCTCTGCTCCTTTTCATCCATATACAAAGGATGTTTGCTTATGTGTGTGGGTGTGGGAGCAGCATTAGAAGCAAGAGTCCAGGACTGCAAGGTCTCTGGGTTATCCTGCTGTGGGAAGGAGCGTGCTTACTTTTAGCGTATGCTTTCCAAGTGGCCTGCTGCTTCTGCGCTGAACTTTTCCTTGAAGGGGTGCAGAAACAGATCGGAAAGAACAAGGAGGCCGCAGAAAGTTCATGGAAAAATGGAATCAGAAGGTAATGCTGATTTTCCCTGAACTCTTGGACACCTCCCACCCCTTATAACGATAGGTATTCAGGGCATCACTCCTCGAGTGAAACCAGTGCCTGGTTCCTCTGCCATGGTCCTCCCTGCACTGCACTGATATCAGCAGATGCAGCACACCAGGATGTTTTGTGCTGAAGTTCTCAAAATATTTCCCTTGGAGCACTTCCACTGGCCCAGCTGGGGCATCTGTTAAAACCAGATTTCTGGCCTTTGCCCGAGACCACAAGAATCGGAACATCCCGGGTGGGGCCAGAGACTCTCCATTTCAAAGAGGCCTTTTTTTTTTTTTTTTTTTTTTTGGTACACAAATATTTGGGAACTATTTATCTATGGATAAACTTAATGGAGAAGGGTTAAGGTTTTATTTATTTTCATTATTCTGATTCCCACTGTATCATTAATCAGATACAACTTGTTCTCTTTTGCACATAACAACACATAAAACATTTCTCAAACAGTTTTCCAAGATATCCTAAACCATGTTCTTTCTTCTAAGCCTGCTTCTGAGTTTGTTTGTGCTTCTCCATCCCTTTGGGGCAGTTGTTTGAAAACCCGATACCAAGGCCCCTTGTGCTATTAACCATCTTAGCTGCTGTCAGGAGGCTCTTCGTGGCTCCAGAGTGATGTGAGATTTCTCTCCTCTGGCCAGAGAATTAACCGGGGATTACTGGGTTGTTCCTTCCTCTCTGGGTGACTTCTTGGTATCACATGGGATTAAGTGTGTCAAGTAGCTTTAATCCCTGATGAGAGTGCAGAAATGGATTAATTCAGGATTTGGAGAGTGTGGCATAATAAAAATAGACAGATTTTTTGACAGCTTGATGCATGTCCCTGCCCTTGAATCTGGGCCGGCTCTGTCATAACTTTAATGAAGAAAAATGGTACCAGTTACATATGCCAGCTCCCTAGCCAGGCCAGAGTCTACTTGGCCTCTTATGGATCATGTTCTCTGGGAGCCCACATGGAGAGGCTTCCTACCAAGGTGCCAAGGCTAGGAGTGGAACCATCGTGGAACCTCCCAGTCAGCTCAACCACAGAAGGACCCCGTCAAGACCTCCTGAAGCAGATGAACAGCCAGCCCAGCCCTGCCTGAATTCCTGACCCAAGATTCTGGGAGAGGTGATAGAAGAGTTGTTGTAAACCACTACATTAAGGGAGGCTTGTTGTGTGTGCGTAGATAACTAAATGTGGAGGGGAGGGCGGTAATCCTGTTGTCACGAGCTTACCCTCATCTATACATGGGGTTGTTATTATCTGATGTCTAGAGTGAGTGAGTCTGAAAACCTGCGGCAGCACTGCTAACAAAAGGTCTGCATGTCCCACATCGGCATGTTTGGCTGCTGACTCCAGCAGACCCTGGGAAGCAGCAGTGATGGCTCAGGTAATTGGGTTCCTGTCATTCATACAGGAAACCCAGATTCCATTCTTGGCTCCTGGCTTTGGTCCCTGCACAGCTCTGGCTGTAGCAGGCATTTGGAGGATAAACCGGCAGATGGTAAAGAGGTCACTCTGTCTGCCTTTGTCTCTCTACCTTTCTGATCACACATCAGTAGTACTCATAAAAACTTGTCACCCACTGTAATAAAGTGCCAGCATGACACCTACAGAATAGCATTTTATGTATAACTGGAGTAAAATACATGTTCACCTAAACTCAGAGCAGCTTAGGGTTTTTTTTTTCTTGAGTTAGAAAACAACATAGTTCCTAATATCTCAGGGAGTGATGGGTATAAACTGAGCTGTGTATGTAATGGAGGAAACAGACACTGAGATGTTAAATGGGTTGCTGAAGCTCCCACCACAGGGAGTCAGTAACATATCCACATTGAGACTGGTGGCTTTCAAAGGCAATAAACACATTTTACCTGGGCTTGGTGCACACATGTACGAGAGTCTTTATGACTCACCTTCATTTTATGTAGTGTGCTATGAAGATTTTCTACTCCATTTGCTTTTTAAAAACACTGGTGAAACGTAACAAACTCAGAGCTCACTAATGCGTCACCAACTCCTGCAGGGCGGGGGGTAATGCCCAGTCCAAGGGTTGTGTAAGGCCCACAAAGTCACATGGTCTGGCGCTGCTAAGGCATCTGCAGACGGGACTCGAAATTCAACACATCTACAGCAGGCCAATTTTTAAGTTGATAGTTTTGCATGGCCTGTGAGTGATGCTATAAACATCCTAGTGCCCCTTGGCAGAAGCAAAGGCTCCTCTCCTCTTCTGGAGTATGAGAAGCATCATCCTGGACGTGGAGCTTCATGGGGCAGGGGACTCTGTCCTGTGCGTTCCTGGGTGCGCAGTGCTTGGGAATGTTTGGTGTATAGCAGATACTCAAGAATTGAATGAATGAATTTAGTGACATTAGGTCTGACTTATTAAAATGGAAAGGATCCAATAGCAAGATAGGAAATCCAGGGCCCACTGTTGACTTGTGCATCATTGTATATTTTTGAGAAGTAATGTCAATTTTCAATTTTCTCTCCTACAAAATAAAACTTGTGATGTCTGATTCTCATGAGAATAAAACACATCCACAAAGGTAAAGCTACTTGAATAAAATAGTATTACAAACAATAGGTGAATGTGTTTGTTACTTATGTACTTTGAAATGCCTAGAGATATCATACGTATTCGTCAGTTTGTCAGTATCTGAATTAATTAGGGGAATATTAACGAAACAGTGGGATCTGAATTTAGACTTTTTAAATGAAAGACAACTTATTGACCAAAAATGTTGGGTTAGGTTGGCATCTCCTTGAAGCACTGAGTCACTCTCAGAATGGCAGGCTGAGCAATGGCTTCAGCAGTCACGGCCCATTGTCTTTGTCTAAAAGGCTAGTTCTGAGGAGAGACTTCACTGGACCAAGTACTCTTGTTATTGTCTCAGGCACTTACTAAAACTCACTCGGTGGATGCGATGGAAAATGCTGCCATTTCTAAATTGCTCAGGTTGGGATGCATGAGATTTTGAACATCTGTTGGAGACGTAGGGACCGTTAAGTCGTTCCAATAATGGCCAGCGGCTCTCTCCCAGCTGTCGACAGGAGAACGTTTGCCCAGAGCTAACTGTCTTCCACACACACTGGCATGAGTTTCCCTCATCCTTTTTGTAGAGCCCACCAAGTGCCTGGCACTGTGGGAACTTTCCCAGCTTGCTTTCTGTGAGCAGCAGCACGACACTGCGGGGTTGGGTGCACAAGAGTGGAAACCAGAGAGACTGACCAAATGGGGACTCTTCCGCTTGCAAAATGTGTGACCCTGGGAGAGTTCCTTTGTGCTTGTTAAATAGGATACAGTGTGCACACACACTGCCATGCAGAGTACTAAGCACAACACCCAACATATAGAAATCACTTAATAGATGGCAGCTCCTTTCAGCTGTTATTTTTACTGCTTTTATTGCTGTCAGCCCTTGCTTATTTAGACTAGCTAGCTGTGACTGTTGGGTTGCTAAAGAAGATCTCTGTTTACTCAGGAAATACGCATGTTTCTCTAAGAGCCAAGGAAAGCCAGTTCATGGGTCATACCATACCCTGAGGATGTAGCTGGAAGGATGGTAACAACCAAGGGTGGTATGTGCAGTGCGTCATGGAACCTGTGCTCTCAGCCTGTCAATCCTCCCTCTGTTTGCTGGGCACAGGTTGCCCTGGTAAATCTGTACTTTGTTGGAGAAATTGGGGCACTAATGTGATTGCTCTCCCTGTGATGCTGAGCTATTTTGAAGTATCTTTCTAATCGACTCCAGGCAAAATTGTGAAGTAGTCATTTGTCTCTGTCACTTCCAGGCCTTGCCACTGCCCCATGGCTCTACCCGCTTCTTCCTCCTTCCCCACAGTCAGCGAATTTCTCCTGCTCTCTACTACAAATTAGCTAAAAGTGGCTTAAAAGGTTGTCCCCTTAAGGTACATTTGTGCTTTAAAGAACTGTAAGGCATTAAGTCAATGGTTCTGTAAGGGTAGTGTTTCAGACATTCCCAGGCCAGCAGGAGAGAAGATTTCAGACTGGCGACTTATCCTGAAATCCATTGGTCTACACTGCCTTCTCAGCAGACTCCCAAGGGGGTATTTATATTATAGTATTTTTCCATCTTAGTTGATTACCTCCCAGTTTTAATTTCTCATGAGGCACCTTCAGCATTTGTGTTGCATAGAACCTGTTATTCAAGTAATCTTCAATAGTTCATGGAAAATGGAAGTAAAAGATGTCCATTGTGATGCAAAAAATTTTTGAAACTCATGCAGTTTCTTTTCATAATTTGCATTTCTATGAACTTTTTAAACATCCCTTGTGGCATGCCAATATTGTGAAAACCTCTGGTCCACTGAATGAACTGAGGCAAGAAGCAATAGTTACTTGTTCGTGGTTACTTGTTGACCTGGTGCAGAACTAGAGTGGAGACTAAGTTTTCTGACTCCACAACACGGTCAAAATCCCTAGTTGCAGCTATGGGTTTAATGTCTTCCTTCCCTGTTAGATATGTGCAGAAGGCTCAAACAGACACTGACTCTTCTGTTCTCCATGGTCTCCCCAGCACCCAGGACCTCAGGCACAAGGGTTGAGTTGGTTACTTGTGACGAGTGACTTGAGATTGTTTGTGGGAACAGACACACACTGGCTGTTTCCTACCAACCTGGTCCCTAATGCCAATGCCATGTGTGGAGTCGATGCTGTGTTCCATACTTACACTGAGAATATGTGGTCCCAGTTCCACTGACACTGAACCTGTTGAGATGCAGTCTGTGTGTGACCACATTCTTCTGGGGCTGGAACAGGATAATGTGCACCTTGGGTGCAAACAAACAGCCCAAGACCACGAAGCCACTCAGGCTGACGGAGATGCACATGGTTGTCGTCTGCACCTGTGAGAAAAGATCACCTTGTAAGTGCTGGACTGTAAATTCCACCAGGTGGTCACCCAAGGAGAGCTCAAGCCCATGGTGAAAATTCCAGGTTTGCCTGTAGTCCTGCTCTTGTGACAGCCAGATCAGTATGACAATCGCATTGGATCATCCGTGTTTGGGGTATTCCTGAAACACTGCTCAGGGTTTGCCAGCAAACACCATGTGTGTGGGGTGCTCCTGAATGCTTGCCAAGACTTTGCATGAGTTTTCTTATTTTGTTTGTTGTCTTTATGTTTGTACAAAGATATTTAGGCAGAACCACTGAAGTTGGAATCTGAAGGAGTAAAATATAAATATTCAACGACGAAGTGGCCAGATTGCTCATGGCTTCAGTAAATGAACTCGACTTCTTTGGGGCTCGCTATATCACAAGAGAATCTAGGCTTTTTCCAGGTTCCCGCCCCCCTTTCCTGCTCAGAGTGCTGCCGAGCAGCTACGGGTTTCCCTCCTCACTACTTCGGACACTAATCCTTCCTCCTGTGTACCTTTGCTTTCACTTCAGGTGTCTCCCTCTGGAATGCTGATGCACCTGCCCTCTCTGTTCACTCCTTGTGCTTGCTGGGCTTCCCCATGCCCATCCTTGACAGCACAGTTTCACTCTGTTCCTTCCTCCTCCCCCTGAAAGTCTACCCTGGAACTAAGGTTTGTCATCTCTGCTCATTCTGCTCTCACTCTCCCTCTTTGCTGGCTTTATCACTTGTCCTGGCTTCAGTTCCATAGAGTTACTGGAACATTTCACACCAGACTACATATTTTATCACCTTCAGTGCAGAAAAGCAGAAATTAATGATTTCTTCTACCAATTTAGGGAACATTGACAGTCAACACTCAGAGACAAGCACATGCAGTCACTAAATACCACAGGTCTCTGAACTTCCTCTCTCATCAAGGAAAGCTGAAGACCGAACAGTTGACTAGAGAAGCCACATGAATTGAGGAGGCTTCACTCTGGTTTTGATTAAAAAATAATTCAGGCTACACTTGTGGCCTCGTTGTTTAGATTCTAAATGCTGAGAACCCCTCCCACCCTCATCCTTTTCAGCTTCTTGTCCTCCTGAACCACTCCAGTGCCTTCCAACTTGGAGCCCGCACTTGCAGGCTCCTGTTCTTTTCTCAGCTTCTCAGAAAAGAGCCTGTCAGCTAACTCCAAGATGTCACAGCCCTGCTCAGTCGTGTGACTGGCTTTTCACACGTATGTGAAATCTGACCTGGTACTCTTGCTGCTTCAGTGAAGCCAGTAAGAAAGACATCAGATTCCATTTGAAAGTCAGCTACACTGAGAGTGAAGGAGAAGGAGAGGAAGAGGGGAAAGAGGAGAGGGAGAGGGGAGAGGGGAGAGGGAGCACCTGGGCCATCTTCTACTGCTTTTCCAGGCCATAGCAGAGAGCTGGATGGGAAGTGGAGCAGCCAGGACTTGAACCAGTGTCCATATGGGATGCCAGCACTGTAGGCGGCGGCTTTACCCACTACGCCACAGGGCTGGCCCCCAAAGGTGTAAATTTTCAAGGGAATCTTTTCTGAAAGTGTTTCTGTAACTCTTGAAACTCCTCACACACTCTGGCAGAGGCACTTGGGGGAAAAGCGGAACTGTAACTTCTGCTCCCTCAGCCGAGGCCCAGGAAGGGAGCTTCAGTGTGGCCAGTCACACACAGTTTGAGGCGCTGCTCTGGGACCTGATTCCAGCCTTGGAAATCCACAGGTGAGAAAATGCTAGCAGTTCAAGTGGCACTGTAGGGACTTACCACTGGGTTGAAATTGTCCTCTACTGCAAGGGGTTCTCAAAGCCCAGGATTTCTGCATGGGAGGCAGAGAGCAATGTGCTGTCCAGAGCCCTCGGGTGTGACCTCGGGCCTGTATGGATGAGCCTGGTGTAGTGGGGTGCTCTGGGACTGAGCATGGAGCCCCAGGTGACAACTGACTCGGGGACATGCAGGAGAAAGCACTGGCACCGGTCTCCTGGGAATCATCTTCCAGGCATCCTGAGGACGTGTCTTCTACCACTTGTGGACTTGGGGACCAGAGCTGAGAAGGCTACAGCAAAGGGTCCACCGGGAGCAAGGAGAAGTCACCACGGCAGGCTGTCAGCCCCAGGAGGAAATGGCATGCCATGTCAAGAAGGATTTTCATCAAGATGTAGAGCTGGATGTCTAAGGGTCTTAACAGAGACAAGTTCCAGCTGAAAATGATTATGGGGCCGAGGTTACCTAAGAGCGCACAAGTTCACAGGCCCACAGAAGTCCTGAGCATTTTCTTTCATGCCTCTGTTTCCAGCCAGGGATGGGCCACACGGAGGGTGACTATTCAGTGCTTGAGTGGGCCCCTTCAGACTTCTGTCCAGGGCTGGGGGATGGTTACCCTCACTGAATACTAAAGGGGTCATGGCAGCAGAACAAATGTATTTTGATCACAGTTTTGCACGATATTTATTAAATATACCTGTCATAAGTTTGAAACCACCTCCCTTAATTTGTACAAAGCCTCCAGTTTCAGCTGTCCAGTTCCTTCCGTGAGTCACACTGTTGAAAGTCTGTGTTTATCTACAGTTCTGTGTTCTGACTCTCTGAAGGAGGTAGATAGTGCCTGCCTCCAGGGGAGAGGGTTATCTCAGAGCTCCTCTGCTGTAATGCAACCCACTGGTGTGCAGGGCCACCTGGCGTACTTCACACGGCCCTCTGAGAAGTGACTGCAGGAACCAGCACAAACGCTGACACTGCCTACTGCTGCTGCTGGGAGCCATGCAGGACTTTTGTCAGCATCAATAAAATTGTGTCAAGCTAATGTGGCACCTCAAAGGTAGAGTAAAATCTCAGACACTGCAGAGCTGACAGTTTTGGCAAAGGGGATGGAGCACCAATAGAGACTTGGCTTCTTCCACAAGGAGGAATGAGGGCCATGGGAATCAACAGGAAACACACTGGCCGACCAAGTTGCATGGTAATCCAGGAAAACACAGTGATCTGCTTTATTGCCCACTAATAAGGAGGATTTGGGGAGGGGCTAAAGATTCAGCAATGGGAATTAGGTTCAAAAAGAGATACTGTTCTCTTGCATGCCATGATTGTTTTAGCTCTCTCCTGGGTGTGTGTGTGTGTGTGTGTGTGTGTGTGTGTGTAACACTGGATTCTTTTCCCACCCCCAGCTGGGTTCGGGTACCCCCAATTCTAACAACGGTTGCTAAATCTTGTCTTGGGTGGGCAGAAGGTTCCTTTCCCTTTTACTCACAAGCTGCCAACACCTGCACCTGTGCTGAGTATGAGACGCAGTGTCTTCAGAAAAGCTAGAGAGCAAGGGATTCCTTTGCACTTGCCCAGTGCCCTCAGAAGGTTGAGGCCGAAGGGCCCAGGGTGCTGTGAAGGAAGAATCGTGGCAGCAGGGCCCTTGTAGACCTCATCTGCTTGTGGAGTCTCTCCAGCACACTCAGATCCACTCCTCGATGACACCCCATGTTCTCAGAGTCTTCTGCAGTGGGAACCTGGCTACTAGGAAGGAGCCAGGTAGGACCTCCCTGAGACACACAGACTCTGGAAGACCACAGGGGAGGCACTGACTAGTATATGGCCTCTGACAAATGGGGATTTTACAGTGCTGACAATGGTGATTTTAAAGGATGAGAAAGCAATGCAATGAAATCTCCATAAATTCTTGCAATCAGCAGCAGCTCTGGAAAACTTCCTGAGCCTTAGAGTTAAAACCAGGCAAGATCCCCACAATATTATTGATGTGAGTTAGTGAGTGCTTGGGATCAAGGTGACCTTGTTTTAATAAAGCTCTTACTGTGTGAATCAAGGCTGAGTTAGTTGAAGTCCCCCAGCCCTGAGTCCTAGCCACAAGGCTGTATGCTGTGACTTCTGAGTCACTGGGTCATCACAGTTGAAATGGATAGTGACAGTAATGATGACGGTGTCAACCAGTGTAGGTTTTGGGGGACACATAAACATTGGACCCTCATTCAGCTGGGCCACGAGTAGACTGAGTGCTTAAAACCAAAAGCAAATGGCACAGTGCTGTCCTCTTCCTCCACACTGCCTGATTCCGCCACAGGCTGCCATGATTCGCTGATTTAAGGAGAAAGGACAATGACTCCCCTCCTGTAAGGGTGGCTAAGACCATATGTACCAGTTCCAGTACGGTGGGATCTGCAGGATGGGGAGAGCTCAAATGGTGTGCTCTACTGGATACAGAAACCCAAGTCACCATTCCTGTCTGTCTCAGGAACCTCCTCTTTGTCCTGTGACTACCTTCACTGCACTTGCCCACCAGGGTACAGGGTAAAATCCCACTTGTCAAGAGTGTTGCTGGAAAGACCAAGCTCTGATTGCTGATGTCCACAGACATTTAGAATCTGTATCGCCAATCGAAGGATGCATGATTCTGGGTCAATGTTAAATTCTTCCGTGCATGGTATCCTCTGCCTTGCAGCTAGGACTTGAATTTTGTGAAGACTGGGCTAGTGCTTTACATTAACCTGCAACTCACAATAGTTAGGAAATGTACTCAGTCTTAAAACTTTGATATCCAATTTCACTGCAACTACTGTTACATTATTGGGTACTTTTCCAATGCTGCAGATCCCCTCAGTTACATCTTTAACCTGAGTCTCATTCTGGAATTTCTGAACAAGGGTCCCACGTTCAAAAGGCAGGGGGCCAGGTGTAAGGGTTCAGCCACTGGTGGGAGTCTGGACAGGAGTGGCAGTGCTCTGCCATGAGGGGAACCACTACAGAGGCCCTGTAGGAATCTGGGTCCCGGGTGCATTACTGCGTTAAGAGAAGCCAGGGATTTGTGCATCTGAGTGAACTTTCTCAATTTCCTAACTTTGACACATATTAAGTATTTCAAAACAGTGCAGGCCAACCCACGCATATCTGTGGGACAGAAGAGCATGCAGTTCACCAGGGCACTGGTTTTCCATCTTGCAGCAGATGAGAGTCACATTTCGGGGCTTTGAAAAGTCCCGATGTCCAGACCACAGACCAGGGCAATGACATCGGCATTTCTGGAGCTAGGTCCCAGGGATCAATATGTTTTAATGCTGCTCACTCAATTCACGGCACATTTGCAAACCACTGTGTTGGAGACTTCCATCTTCATTTATTTGGCTTTATGTGTCAGGGGTGTGGCCTCATGAATCATCTTGCGTTGACTGGATACCTTAATTAGCAGGGACCTTAGAAAACTCAATCCTGTGACCTGTGTCTCAGGGGCCTTGTGAGTTCTGCCATGGGGCGAAGTCTCTGGTATCTTTACCTAATTCCATTCAGTCTCGTGTTCTCCTATGCCGTATCAGGCAAAGGATAAAATTACTTTTTTTCAGCATTTCTTTTTCTTTCTCCCCCAACCCTCCTTCCCTTTCCTCCTCCTTCCTTCCCACCATCCCTCCTATTTATTTTTCAACAGCTCTCTTGAGACTGAAAGGTACGAATCACATGTCCAGGGTAAAATAATGACCTTTGCAACTATTCTGCAGACCCAATACTCCAAATCCTGTCCACTAAGAGTAGTTGCCTAAGAACTTAAGGAAAAAAATCCTGTAGATCTATGGGCATGGATGGGATGTCTACATGAAGGCAAAAGGTAGAAGCAAGGGCGTTAACACACGCTTACTCTGCTTCTCTATTCTACTTGCCCAACTCCAAGATTCCCCTTTCCAGTGGTTCTTATCCCCTGCCCTTTGCTCTTGCTGTCCTGCTTCTGATGTTACCTCTTCTTAAAAACTGTCAAGTTTTTTTTCTGAGTGGTTGTAAAATCCTGGATCGTAACCCCATCACTGAACTCAGGTTCTTCATTTTTATTGATCATCCCTTAGAGAAGCCCTTTGGGTTAAAGTCACTTAGTTGAAAATATTTAAATAGACCAGATGCACTGAATTTGGCCAGTTTCTTGAGCCCATGCTTTAAATAGATTTATCTTCTTTTCAAAAAAGACTTAATTGATAAAAATCATGTATGTTTATCTTGTACGACATGATGTTTAGAAATCTGTGAAAGGCTAAATCAGGCTACCAACCTTGTGCATGACCTCACATACTTACATTCTGTATGTGGTGAGAACACTTAAAATCCACTGTCGGCTCTTTTCAGGAAAGCGATAGTCGCCATGTCATACTGGAGATCTCTTGACCATACTCCTATCTGACTGAAGTTTCTTATTTGCTTTGTTCTCTTCATTTTAGCAATGCGGGGATTTTTTTGTAAACTCAGGTTTATGCATTATTTCAATCCATGGACCTACTTCATTTCATGAAATCATGGTAAAATAAGGAAACTGGTATGACTCTGGAAAACCTTAATTGAGGACAACTTAAGAAATAAAGCACAATTGTTTGAAGAGATAAAAATTCTTATGTTCACTCATTATAAGACACTAAAAGAATTATAAATGCAGAAATAAATGGTATAGTTTCCACAATTTGGGAAATTATGATGGAATTGTGAAGTTTCTTTTAGAAGAGATAATAATTACATGAAGTCCAGAACTTTGAATTATATGTTACTAAGACTCTATGAATTAGGACCAATTAGTTTATGTGGATATGTGCAGTAAAACATTTAACTAGTTCAGACTATGTGTGTGTGTGTGTGTGTGTGTGTGTTATTATATGTCATGCAATAGGATAGGCCAACCCCAAGAACTGTATAAATTTACTTATTGATATGCCATATAAATGCATGTAACTAAATCTGTAGAAAGGCATGGAAAAATTAACATTGTATTTTAACTTGCTTTAGAGATGTAATGAAGCATGAGTGAAATTTTAACAACTTTAAACTGATTCTTGCTTGATGCTGCAAACGCATTTAAATTTCTAGATCAATCTGTGTAGCCAAATCCTCTTGTGTCTAATTTGAAGTATTCTCATTAGGTTGTTAGTGGCTTGTCTTGTTCTTCTGTCAGTAACTTTTTAAATTGAATTAATGTGTGTGTGTGTGTGTGTGTGTGTATTACATTTTCTTTCCCATAGATGATGAATTACTTGAGTGGCCATGCCATTGACATTTATCTTACTCCCTGTGCCTGCCACATAGACCACCTGCATGTTTTGAAAGTATACTGAATTAATTTGCACCTGTAATATGGAAGTTCATCATGGCATTTGTAAGTACTGCACTCCTTTCTGAAATGAAGTAAAGGGAGTCTATTTTAAATCCCACACAATGAAACAGCAGCAAGACAAAATAACAAGAAAAAGAAGAAACCGACTGGAGACTTACTCTGTAATCACTTGATGTCACATAAAATATAGGGAGGAAAGCCAACCAGATGATGCACGTGGTGTACATGGTAAAACCTATAAACTTGGCTTCGTTGAAATTTTCTGGGCACTTCCGCGTTTTGAAGGCATACACAGTGCAAAGGATCACCAGGATCACATCATAGGTGAGAGAGATCAACATGCTGGAGTCTCTGACGTTGCATTTCAAGATGACCGTTTCGCGCTTTTCTGGAAGCGTGTGCCTCCTGGTGCCTGGAGTCTCCAGGATGAGCCACACAGACACTACCACAATTTGCACCAGTATCAGACCGAGGCAGATGAACACCTGAGAACCGGGGCTGATGAATTTGGGCCTCTGAGCGCCATTCTTGACCCCATCGAAGATGCGGGCGATGCAGTTTGTCTTGGTCAGCAGGGCTGAATAGCAGATAGCGAAGGAGGTGCCCAGCCCCAGGCGGCGCAGTGCACAGATGACGGGGGACGGCTTGGCAATGAAGAAGAACGTCATGCAATAGGACAGGCCGACCCCAAACAGCAAGATGTAGCACAGTTCGCGGCCTGACGCTTTCACCAAGGGGGTATTGTTGTGCTTGATAAAAACTGTCACCACTATGCTTGTGCACATAAACCCCAGGCAGGCAATGGTGACCGGGCCAATGGCCCAGGCATCTTCCCACTTGATGTAGTCCTCGGGAAGGTTGTAGCATCCGGATAGGTCTGCAGTGGGCCACTGCCCAGGCCCACAATCCACACAGGTGAACTCATCAGCCAGGTACTCATAGGGCTCGCAGGGGATGCAAATCCAGCAGCAGACATCGCCTGGCTGCATGTTCTTCATTTCATTGGGGGCGCAGGGGTCACTGCACTGGGAAACGGGGAGTGAGTTCCGAGACCAGTGGATGGAGTCAACATCTAGCGATAAGGTTTCCGCCCAATGACCGACCTTCAGGTAGGAATACTTCCCACCCATGTGCTGGAAGTTGAACACGTTGTACCGCCCCATGCCGTCTCCGAAAGTGTCGAACTTGACGATGCTGTCCACACCTTTATTGGGGTTGAATGGAGCTATGATACAGAGAGCAAAAAACAAAAGAGAACGCTTGTTTAAGTATCTTATGTGAGATTGGTTGATTACATTATGTCATACACTTAGCAAGACTGACCTAACAGGGCATGGGGTTTCCAAGGCTGGAATCATGTCAGCAGTTAGCACTGAAATTTATGTATCAAAAACTACAAGAGTACTTGGTGTGTTCATAGATGTGTCCACCAGACAATACTGAGTATCTGCTGGGTGTCGAGGTCCAGTGACCACCATGAGTACAACACAGTAGTGCCTTCAAAGGGGCTTGATATGGAACAGGGAGAACTGGTACACACACACAGTCTTATTCTATGTGCTCTGTAAATAGACTTTCCTTGCAAAAGTTCACAAGAGGAGTTGGGCAAACCTTTGTGTCTTGCTCTTATTACATATTTATAGGAGGGTACTTGAAAAGGTTCATGGAAAATAAAAGATAAGTTTATGTGGGGTTTGGAAAAATTGAAATCATTGTTTAGTTTTTTCAGGTTATGTATTTTCCACAAGTTGAAATTATATATTTGAGAACCAGACAGAGAGGAAGACAGGAAGAGAGATCTTCCTTCTGCTAGTTCATTTCCCAAATGCCCACAATAGCTGGGAGCTGCGAACTTAACCCAGGTCCCCCTGGTGGCTAACAGGAGCCCACTTACATGAGCAGTCACTGCTGCCTCCCAGGGTTTGCATTAGCAGGAAGCTGGAGCCAGGACCTGGAGCCGGGAATTGAACCCAAGTACTCTGACGTGGGATATGGGCCTCTTAACCAGTGTCTTACCCAGTAGGCTACATGCTCACCCCTCCAAAAACTTTAAAAAAATCCTCATGTGTCCTCATGTGTACCAAAATGCGTCTCATTTTAAATATTTTCATAGAAATATAAAACTACCAGGAATGTTTTTCTTTCAAATGAAGAAAAATTTCTCTATGTATGATAAACTACTTTCAAACTGTTCAGAGATTCAGATAGAAAAAAATTGAAATCCACCTATAAATCCTTCAGCACTAGTATTTTACTATTTTGGGGTGGATTTGTTCTCACTACATCTATGCATGTGTCTGTCTCTATCTAGCACAACTCCTATCCACATAAACACACACAACCTGGATATCTTGGAGGCACCAGTGGTATGGGGAATCTAAGCTCCTCAGTGCACGTGGTCAGCAGTGCTCAACCAAGGGCCTGTCCTTAACCCTGTCCTTCTTTACCTCCTATGCCACAGTGCCGGCCCCAAGTTCATTTACTTTTAAACGCATTAAAGCACTTTTAAACAAGGAACAATAATTGTACATAGTTATGGATTAGGGCGTAACATTCACGTAGCTCTTGTGCCTGGCTCTACAGCATTTCTGCCACAACCACAAACCCATCACAGGTCTGTGTGGCACTGCACTGCACTTGCAAATTGGCTCCCAGTTCATTTCAAGAGGGGAAGACGCAGTAGACGAGTGCGTGGTTTGGGAGTTACACAGACTGTGCGCGAGGCTCCATGCTTGTGTATCCTTGGACACATCACCTTTCTGCCTGTGTCCTAATTTGCAAATTGAGGGTAAGAGTTGCTTTGAAGATCTGCTAAGTCCCACAACACACTAGGCTCAGTGCCTGGTACACAGTGCTTAACACAAAAGTTAGTGATAATGATAATGGGGATAAAAACTTTTTTTTTCTTTCAAAAAAAAAGGGGGGGGGAGAGCTGCTCTTCAAGGGGGGCTTATTGAGTGGCCTGGAAGGCAAACACGAGAGGAGGGAGGGGGTGTTTTCCAGTTCTCCCTCCTGATTTCCCAACCTCAGTTCTGGCCCAGTCCTGCTCCTGCTCCTCCTTCTCATTCCCCACACTTCCACACCTGTTATAAGCATGGTTGCACTCACTTACTGCTTGGAAATGTACACTTGTACTTCACAAGCTAGTGAGGGTATTTTATATCTATATCTATATCTATATCTATATCTATATCTATATCTGAGGCATTTTAAAAAGTTCATAGAAAAGGAATTAAAAGATGTTTATTTTGGTGCAAAAACTTGAAGTCTCCTAGTTTTTCCATAACATGCATTTCTATGCATCTTTTCAAGACCCCTCATATCTTTGTTTTTCAACGGCTACAAATGAATTATACGTATAGAGAGAATTATGTTGTATAGAAAGACATTTGGGTTGTTTCCAAGGGTTTGACTTCATGAACCTCATCATCTAGTTATTTCCTTAGAGCAAATTCATAGAAGTGAAATTACTGGGTCAAAGTGTATGTTCTTTAAAAACTTAACTACAGAGTATCTGGTTTCTCTCCTGAAAAAGGTTTTCCTTTTAACAATGCACACTCCAGTGCATGCTGTACGGGAAAGGCTGCTCTCCAAAACACTGCCAACCCTGAGTGTCACTGATCTCTTCAACCACTGACTACTGGTAGGCCAAAACATGATCAGTGTTAGTGAAGGGGAAGTGCCAGTCGGCAGAGGCAGAGTAACGGCCCCACAGACGTCCGCGTCCTCATCTCCCAGATGCTGGGAATGCGTTCCGTTAGGTGCAAAGAGGAATTCCAGTTGCTGACCAGCTGACTGAGGGTAGGGAGCCCAGCCTGTGACACCTGGGAGACCGCGAGCGCCCGTGAGGGTCGATGAGTGAGGAAGAGGCAGGCAGCCGTGTCAGCCTCAGAGCGATGCCCTGGGAGGGAGGCAAGGCTGACCGCCCGCCTTGAAGAGGAAGAGGGGCCGAAGGAACCCGGCAGCCTCCAGGAGCCGGAAAGGGTGAGGGGACACATTCCTGCCCAGGGCTGTCGAAGGGAACGCGGCACCGCAGACCCGTTGCTTTGTGCCCAGTGAGAGCCATTTGGGACCTCTAAGTTCCAGGACTGTTAGATGATGAACTCACGTCTCTTCATGCCACTGGTGTCATGGCAATCTGTCCCAGAAGCAACAGGAAACTCATGACAGCAGATCTAGTTTGGATTTGTGACCTGTGCCTGCCACCCAGGCCACCCGGGCTGAAGTGAAGCCAGAACTCTCTCCCCATTCTCGGTTACATTCTCTCCCCATTAGCTGCTACACCCCCGGTGGAGGGCGATATGCCAGCAGTTTGCAAAGTGACACCTCGTGCTGTGGGATGTCTCCTTCAGATGGACTTACAGTGCTGTTCACTGAGAAAAAAATGGAATTTGAACGAGTTGTTCACCAATAGAGTTCATTAACAGAAACACGGCTGTGCAAAGAAACGAGGAAGCTGCTCTCCACCATGTATTTCCGAGAGATTAATAAAGTCTGAAGTCACAACGTTATGTGTGGAAAAACAAGATGTGCAATGCGTGATATTTTACATAAAAGAGGGAAGTAAATTACCTTTTCTTTTAGGGGCATAAAAGACCTCTAGAAAGACACCAAAAAATGCTGGTTACTTATGGGCAGGGACAGGAATTGAGTAGATAGAAGGGAGTTTTTCCTGAATCCCTTTATACACATTCGGTAGCATGTGATGGTATTATCAATTCAAAAGTTAAATAGCAAAAACAGAGAGCACAAATTGACAATCAGGGATCACCAGCCATCTGAATAAACTTCTAACCTGAAAGAGAGAAATGGAAACAATCAGAAAAAGAAACAAGGAAAAAAGAGACAGTGCAGGGACCGAAAGGCAAGCGTGAACACGCTCACAGATACCAGGGTATCCATGAGTCAGGCACAGCTGATTCTTCGAAAGCGATGTGCAGAGGACAAGAAAGAAACCCTTTGGAAATGAAATAGCAGAAGTGGGAACTCAGCAGCAGGACTGAGGGACAGACGTGAGAACAGTCTCAAAGCATAAGCAAACGCCAGGAGGAAAAGTAGAAAATGCAGCAGCAGAAGGATTCTGGGGTGGAATTCAAGGGCCAGTTAGCAGGTGATCTAGAAAGACAGAGCTGAAGTGGTCACCTGTGGGGAGCAACCCGGACTAGACTGAGTTACTGGAATTAAGACTTATTCTATGCATCTGCTCTCCCACAATATGGCGCTGAGAAGGGAGAAACAGCTTCTACACAGCTGCCTCCAGTTCAACCAATAAACTGTAGGACCTGCTCCTGATTGGAGGAGAGCAGCGAACTCGGTGTGTGGGTAGCAGAGTTGGGATTGGCGGAAGAGGACTATAAAGGAGGAGAGAGACAACATGCACCAGGAACATCTAAGGGAACACCTATGCAGCCCCCAAGAGAGCCGGCCGGCGATGTGCCGCTCCCCCGCGGAAGTGGGGAAAGTGGCTAGGGGGAACCGCCCTTCCACGGAGGTGGAAGGGACGGTAGCCAACCCGGGAAGAACCAGCAGCAAACCCGGGGAGAGCCGAGCAGACAAAAGAACAGCGCAGGGTCCTGTGTCGTTCCTCTGTGAAGAGGGGGAGCGACATAATGGTGCCGTGACTCGGATATGAAGCCTAGGCAGGGCCCTGTGTCGTTCCTCCGCGAAGAGGGGGAGCGACAGTCACCTGTTGGAGCAGACCTGGCCCGGCGAAGGTGAGACAAAGGACTGGCTCTTTCTGGAAAGTCACGTCCATGTAAATGTTATGTGCACGTGTTATCTTGATAAGAATGATGAAATGACAAAGTTGAAATAGTAAAGGAGTAATGGAGAAAAGTCAGGCGGAACAGCTTGGAAAGTAAGTTATGAAAATAATAAAGCGTCAGACACTAGAACAAGTACTTGAAATGTGTGTGGTGAGTAAACCAGAGTAGTTTTGTGATTTTTTTAAATAATAAATATTCATGTATGCATTTTTTGCGAGACGATGAACACTCCCTGTGCTGGCTCACTCCTCACATGCCCACAGTGGCTGCGGTTGGGCCAGGCTGAAGCAGGGGCTGGGAATTCAATGCAGCTTCACCACGAGGGTGGCAGAAACCCAGTCTCTGGGACCATCACTACGGCCTCCTGGGGAGCACATTAGCGGGAAGCTGCGGGTAGGAGCTGGAGTGGATAAGGAACGCAGTGGCTCTGATATAGGATGCGAGTGTCTAAACGTTTGGA